CTTCTGTGGGGTCAGCTTTATTGCAGGTGCCACCTGGGAATGAAATCATGCAATACTCACTCTCTGTGCTTGTGCTACATGAAGTTTTCCTGGGGAGACAAATGTCACTCCAGCTTGGGCGCCCATAACAGACCAAAGGGCAGTTCTTCCAAATGTAGCTTTGGGGAATCGGTGAGTTTAATATGGTCATTACAGGAACATGGGTGAGGAGTTACCTGCAGTAACATGGGCAACTTATCAGTGGCTACACCACTGAAGAAAATATCTTCTCTGTCTTAACTGTCTGTATATACTCGAGAAGGGGCATGACCTTATGAGACCTGCCTTCCAATAATGGTTTACTGCCTGTAACTCCTCAGTGAAGGATGGGGCTTTTGAGTCCTTCCCCTTTTTTTGAGGGAATGTTAGTGGATCAAGTCTTGGGCTACAGTTCTTCTGCTAGCAATTACAGCTAGTGGGAGTTCAGGAGGACAATTACCATGTTACACCCAGAATACACTGCTCCACAACAGCCTGGTTTGTCTAATATAACATAGCAATCATCAATTCTCAGTATTGTATTTAATAAATAATTTGCAAGTAGTAATTAATTTAAAGCTATAGGGTTAAGTTCTGTTTTATAACATTTAGTTAGAAATAGTCGACTATACCTATGTTAATACATCTCAGTACATATTATAATTGATGATAACCTTGAGAAAGCATTTCAGAAGACTATGGAAAAACTGTAATGCTCTAGGCACAGAGGCAGAAGAATGGATCTTTAATAAGCAAGCAATTCACTGGGATCCTAAACTGAAGTTCTATCTTAACACAAATGATAGAATTCTTACATATACACACACTAAGTAAAACAACTTTATTAATCTGTGTCTTCAGCTTTAAAACATACCCTCACACTCTTGAAGGTAGCAACTATAGAGTTGTAGTACTCTCAATAATCCTGCCCATTTAAATTCTAGGCCAAGCTTTCTGGAGATTTTTAAAGTTGTATCCTCAAAACTGCTCTCATTCGATAGGTAATTGTCATCTCTATTTCTAAAAGAGAAAACAACCCTATATATGGAGTAGTAGATGCAGAGAACTAAAAGAAATTATGACTCTCTCTCTCTCATCTGTGTTGTATTACTTCCCCTAAGTATTATGGGCATACATATTTTAAATGTTTGGTTATAGATGGAAAGACAAAATCAAAATTAAATCATGCTATTAATAACAAAATAATAGCAATGTTCGGGGTAACGTTAATTTATTTGGCAGATTATATAGCATGCTGTCTTATAATAAGGCTGCCTAAAAAGTGATTCTCACAGGACAAACCAATTATGAGCACATGACATTAATGTCTACTTCTTCAGTTGTCCATAGAATGCCTTAAAGTCTATAGATTTTAAGTACTATTTAATGTGTGGTGTTTGTGTGTGTTTGTGTTTGTGTGTGTGTGTGTGTTGACTAACACATGATCTCATATATCCCATATTAGCTTCACTGTGTAGCTGAGGATGACTTTACACTTTGGATCCTCCTAAGTAAAAACAAGCTAAACTTCAGATGCTGTGTTGGTGCTCAAACTCAAGCCTCATAGCTGTGAGACTGCAACCCTACTGACTGAACTACATATGTATACATATATCCCCAACCCAAATATTATTTACTTTGAAGAAGCAGTGTTCTTATATATTCTCTCTATAATCTTAGTGTTTCTTCCTTTAATACCTTTTATATTATTAAATTGATTTTGACACGTATATATGCATTCCTTTAGAGAACTCTATTTATTGGGTTGATCTTTGTTTGGTAGAGATACATTAATGGTGTTAGAATTTGCTAACATGGGAGAAATAGAGCTGTGGTGTCTTCTACCCATAACAAATTAAAGAAAATCTGGGACTGTTTGAGCAAGATCAGAACTGTGTTGAACCCAACTTTCCTGTGCTGCATGAGAGTCCGCTAATAAATGTGGCCATGAGTTATGTTTTCACAAGAAATACCAAAAGCTTAATTTAGATCTATAACATTAGCATCTGAATTAAAAATACTCTGGGACATTCTGTCTCAGTAAAATCCCATTATTACCAATAAGTGGATTTTAATTTGTATGTCGATAAGCTAATATATTAGAAATAAAAAAGTTACTTGATGTGTTGTCTTAATAGTATGGTTTATATTATAAATAGGGAGTTTTGAAAAATTTGGAAGTTTCTTTTAGTTCTGACATAATTTTTAGATATAATGGTGAACATGCCTGTAGACAGGAGCATAGTCATCTCTCACAGATTTAGAATTTACTGGGATTCAGTAACAGGGAGAATTGAGAGTTACAAGCCCAAACTCAGGGCAGCTGTGGGAGAAACTAACTGTCAGAGACTGGTCCTGCTGTGACCTTTAGTCATAGGAGCTTCTCTTTGCAGAGGGTGGAGACATTGCAGACTCAAAAATGATCAAACTCCCCACCACAGCTCAGGGAATATTGTAGAAGAAGGGGTGGAAAGAATAACAGCTGCAGGAAGCTTTGTAGGAAGCTGTGTCCAGGCCACTGCATTCTTGACAAGACCTGCACAAGATTGGACCTGTCAACATTATGTCATAGGATGGGAAGGAGCTCATGAGACCCTGCCCCTCCCTGAAGATATATAAGACATTCCCCCTGTCTGTCTCTGTCTCTGTCTCTGTGTCTCTTTGCCTCTGTCTCTGTCACTCTCTTTTTTTGGTGGAGACACTGATTAAGTGCCCTTGCATCTATCTACAACCCTTCAACTGTGGCTGTAGGAGGAACGCTAGTTAAACTCCCTGGGTTGAAAACACAAATTACAAAGATCTGAAGGTAGATCTAGTGGGGGAGAGAAAGGGGATTGGTGGGTGGGTGGGGGGTGACAAGAGAGGGTAAGGTGGGTCAACATGATCAAAATGCATTATATACATGTATTAAAACATCACAGTAAAACCTATTCTTATCTATAATTAATATATACTAAAATTCACAGATAAGGAAAATGCATTTTTTTTTTTTTGCTGTGGGAGCTAAGAGAATAGAAACATTGCTTTGCTGAATAAAAAGATAAATAGCAGCAAAATCTTTGTTTAAAAAAAAAAATCACAAGTTGTCCTTAAAGACACAAGGTAGCTCAGCCAAGTACCATGTTTGAGCTTCTGATGGGGAAATGACAGACAGGCTTAAATTAAGGTGTGGTATGCAAAACTGACCCATAAGCTGAAGATAAATCTTCTATTATCAACAAACAGCTGAACTTTATTCTGTTAGTATGAAGTGCCCTGGTAGGACTTCAGCTGAGGTAGTAACAGTGTTGGTTTGAGAAGTAGGCCGGGAAGTGGCATGAAGGTAGGGGAGAGTTATGGGTGGAGATACATGGAAAAGGTCTCTAGGTCTGGTCACATTGAGTGAGTGATAGAAAAGAATGAAAATAAATAATAAATATTTCATAATGTACAGAACTGGACACTGGTTTAACTTAGAGAATTAGTAGAGAGGAAATAGTACTCAGGCATGGATTGTATCAAGAAGAGTTCCAGATTTAAAAAATTTAGGAGTTTAGATATCTTTTAGGGGCATTTTACAAATAAATGTATCCTGAAATATCTATAGAATCATGCAGTTATATCATATGCTAAGATATGGTCAAAGGAATAGATTTTAAGCTAAAACATCCTTAGCGAATGCTCTTTTGTCAAATCTTTGGAGATCTAGGTGTGGATTCATGGCATCGTATTCATATTTACAGTGTGTGATTATATATACAAGACATATTTAATCACATATTTATTGTGAGAGTTTCTATAAGTTGTGCTTTAATAGTTCAGTATAGCATATCGCATGTTTATATTACTATACACTTTAGTTACTTGATGGCATCATTTGCTGCTCCTAATTGGAATTCATAATGAGGAGAACATTTCCTCTCAGGGAGCTCAGAATCATCTTGTGTAACTGTTCCCATGTAAGACTACTGTTTTATAAGCTTTGGGGAGGGGTGGGGGGAGTGGTGCCCTTACTCTCAAAGCTCTGAGTTAGTTGTTCTGCTTTTACAATTTGATGATGTTCTGTGGACAAGACTGTCAAAGGACAAGGACTAATATTAAGGTGGTATTTTTTTCCAGTCTTTCTTAAAAACATTCCCAGTATGTGATTTAGCAAAAATATGTTTTTTTTAAATGTCAGGTGTAGGAACTTTAGTGTGATTTTATCTCAACATTACAAATATGGCTGATCAATTATTAATCAAGTAGATAAAGTTGAGTGAGTTTGTTTGCATGGTACTTATCTATATCTATATAAATTTTTCTTATTTTACATATCAATCCAAGTTTTCTCTCCCTCCCTCCCATGCTCTCTGACCCCCCTTCCATCCCACCCCTCCCCACTCCACAGGGAGTATGATGCCTTCCAGGAGGGATCATTAAAATCTGTCAAGTCATTTGGGATAGGGAGGCCCTCTCCCTGCCTCTAGGCTAAGAGAGTCTCCCTTTATGGGGAATGTGCTCCCAAAATCCTTTTTTAGCACCAGGGATACATCCTGGTTCCACTGTCAGATGTCCCTTAGACTGCCCAGGCCTTCTGAGATCCACATTCAGGAGGTCTGAGCTGGTCCAAAGCTGGTTTTCCAGCTATCAGTCTGGGGTCCATTAGCTCCCCATTGTTCGGCATTTATCTTAAGTAAATCCCTAACAAGCCTCATATGCTAATTGGACTTAGCATTTCTGTTGCTAAATGAGAAGTGTTTTGGCTGTTACAGAGTGAGTAGTAAGATCTACCCAGTGGAATACACACTAACATCTGTTATCCTGTCCTGCTCCAGCTTGGCTCTTACCAAATACAGCTGCCCCAAAGTCAGAGTTGTCAAATCTGTGTGTGTAAGCGTGTCTGGCTCACCTGTGTGTGAGAGAGAACAAAGCAAAGTTTACCATTAGAAGGCCAACCAGTACAATTTATACTGACAATCATTAGATAGTTCTAATTACTTTCATACCTTTTTCTTTTAAAGAAGCTAACTCTTGATTTGGCTGGACTTCGAAAAGAAAAAGAAGATTTGCTGAAGAAATTGGAGTCTTCATCTGACATCACTAGCTTGGCTGAGGAAGTTTCTAGAGTAATGGCTCCACAGATACAAGTTACCACACTGGGTCCTTCAAGGAGCATGGATTTGGAAATGAAGCAATTGCAGTGTAAACTAAAGGTGAGTATATAGTACATTCGGTTCAACAACATCTGAATCACTGCATCTTTAAAGATATATTTAGTTGATTCTAATTTAGTTCAACAAAGGTCACCATGGTAAAATATTTCAAAAACATGGATATCACATCTGACTTAGTCATTCAAGTCTTGTAGGTCTATTCATTATGTTATTACTTGATTGTCTTTTTCATAGACTGGTAAGAGCCATGCTGATCTGCCTTAGGAGCTAATGGGAAGTAGCCACTATCTTCTACTTAGTATTCAACTCCTGGCTGCTCTCATCATCCCAGTCCAGATGAGCAGAAAACCCTTTCAAACATATTGTATCAACAAAATGAGAACTGTTTTCCTTTACACTTGCTACTAATTTAATTATTTAGTTGTTAGCTGAAGATCAGAATGCAAAGAAGTGTGGAAATGTGGAGGAAAAAGAACAAAAAACGAAGATGGATTGTGGTGATTGTCTGTAGCAAGATAAGCCTGGGGGTGGGAATTCTAGGTAGAGTTCTTCTTGTTTATAAAGAATTATATCCAACTCCAGATAACTTGTCAGTGACTTAAGAGTGAGGCTCATTTACTTTAAATAGAATTGTAAGAAACAAGATCCATGTGTTTTAAACAATTCATTTTCCTGCATCTTAAAGGAAACTAATTATTGTTCACATATTTAATTATTTTCTTCAATGGGAATTACTGGCTGGAAGCTGACAGCAGTGGATATAGGATCATGGCTGTGATAAGCATCATTAGAAGGGAACTCTAACTGTAGACGAATCCAGTGCTTTATAATTAGAATAGCTGACTGCAATGAAGAGAGTAGGATAGCAAAATATCAAGCAGATGCATAGCTCAGTCCAGAGTATAATGTTTTTATTTTTGTTTTTCATGACAGGGTTTCTCTGTGTAGTCCAGGCTATTCTGGAATTCAACATGTAGACGAGGCTGACCTTGAACTTGGAGGCCTGCCTGCCTCTGCCTCCCAAATGCTGAGATTAAAAGTGTGCACCACCACTACCCAGTTCAGAGTATGATGATTTAAGCTGGGTTTTAATTAGAATAAAATATGGTAAAATGTAAGTCAACCATTGCTTATTCTATCGCATTAGTAATAATCAATAATAAAACTGGTATTAATTTATATGCTTCTTAGATAGCACATTGAGACAGTTTTTACCTGGAGAACATGCATATCAGAAAAATTTTGGAGCATGTGCTTTCTCTTAAAACATGTTCTCTCCCAGGAATATAAATACAGTTTCTAAATTAAATGTTTCAGATGGAGCCAATGCACTGATCTTTAGTCATATACTCTATAGATTTTGAGTTACCATTCTTTTATATAGTAATTACACATATAGTACTCATGATAATAATTTAATTTTTCACCAAGATAAAATATAATGAATGGTAGAGTCATCAGACTTCTCAATATTTTTAGTTATTATAGCTTTAAGTTGAGTTGTATCGATATTTTTGCTTGCTACAGATGTACAAATGTTCCAATAATTAAAATTTGAAATGTAGTGTAACATAATTTGCCCACATAAGTACCTGTGAAATGAGATATTTACATTATAATTTTTATCGTGTATAAATAAATATCTGTCTAGTTTCAGACAGAAAGGTGAGGTATGAGCAGGCATCAAGCAGCTTGGCTGTCTGTGTGGATGCTGGAGCCTTTGGATATTTGGGCTGGTTGTCCAGAAACAAAAAGAACAACATTTGTTTTCATCCTGCTTATGTTTTAGTATAGATATTTTCCTGGATTTAAGCACACAATACTCCCTACTACTCAAAATGTGTTTCAGTATTCTTTCAAATTGGTTTGCTGACACAGTATAGTGATGGTATATTTGTTAGGAAAATACCATGTATGATTCATGTGGATATTACTAACTAAATGAGAGATCATTCCAGAAATTAACATTAATTATTAAGTACAGATTAATTAATGTGTGATAATTTGATTTTAGTTTGAAAATAAAGCTTGCTTTGAGTCAGAGGGTAGAGCTAGCCAGCAGCTGACCAAAATTTATCATAGAGGTTTGGAGGACTGAGGACAGATAGGAGACAGGAAGTAGTAAGGGGGGTAGCTGAGAGAGGATCCCAGCTCTTTTGGAGGAGGAAATGGAAGAGGTAGGAAGTCACTGGTGGCTGCTCCCGGCTTCTCAGATCTTTTATGTTCTTACTGCGATATCTGACTCCCAGTTTTATATTGGTAAAGAATAATTAGATAAACACTTCATCTGGCACCCCATGTTGGGTACCATTTGTAGGCAGAGTTTTCCTGTCCTGGGAGCTGCTTCCAAATAACTGACACAGAGATTTAATATTCATTATAAATGCTGGGTTAATAGCTGGGCAGAAAGAGATTGGGCGAGACAGCCTGACACAGAGAAAATGTTGAAAGAAAGGACAGTGTCAGCGGAGTCACCAGCAGAAGCACCAAAGGGGGAAGCAAGATGGGCCTGCCATAATAAGAAAAGGTACCAAGCCACTTGGCAAAGCCTAAATAAGAAATAGGGTTGATTTAAATGTAAGAGTTAGCTAGTGTCAAGCCTGACCTAATGGCTGAGCATTTATAAGTAGTCTTAAGTCTCCATGTTGGTTATTTTGGAAGCGGCTCCCAGGACAGGAAAACTCTGCCTACATATAATATTTTGGTAAATTCACTACTTTGAAACACCTTTTTTTCTGGCAATTCTAGAAATATTACATATCATGGTAAATATGCAATACAGTGAAACTTTATGTTATTTTAACATTTGATTAAAACTTACAACATTTAAAAGTCATTTCATGTTGGATTATTTGAATTTTTAAATTTTTATATAAAAATTAAAATCATTTGAAAACTTAAATTTATATATGCTACATTTATGGTTGATCTGATAAAATTTACTCATATTTACCTTAATAATATCTAATCTTTTCGAATTCAATATTTTTGGCATCAAACATTTAAACATTAAACTGAGGAATAGTTATAAAAATAATTTATTATAATTTTGAGCTCTTAGTGAGAAACAGGTGAGATGGATGGGGCTAAGAAGCTTGTTTAGTAGCCTGATGTGCTAAGTATGATCCCCAGGAACCAAAGAGTAGAAGGAAAGAACTTCTTTCTCTCCACATAGGCAACATGCACGGTGTTAGTGAAATTTCTATTCCAAATATTTTTAAACCATCACAGTTTATTCTTTTATTTGTTTAATGCTTTCTGAACTTAAAAGATGTGTTGATTTGATTATACTAACCATATTTTATGAATGGGAAAGCTAAAATACCAAGAGATACCAACAAGACTAAGTAATGTTTCAGATTAGATCTTTAACTGGAATGCAAATCCAGATACAAGTTAGCTGTCTTGATACTGTGTTTTCCTTATTCCTTATACAGCAACCATGTATAAATCTTTAAGTAATAGTTACTACTTTTAGTAAGTTCAAGCAAAGAGGTATTTGGTATTAGTAAGATGCAGTTATCTAGTATTCTTGGACAAATTATCCTCAGATTTTAACCAGATACAGTTTATCATGGATGATTTCTTTTGCTGTTCACTTCTGGGTTCCCTGGTATATTTATATTTGCCGGGCTGGAAGATGCAGCCTGGCCCTCACACCCATGTGTGTCAGGTGCTTGGCTGGCTGCAGCTGCAGCACAGTGGTTCCTTCCTATGGCCTTGGAACTGGCTTCCCACAAGGCGATCTCAGGGCAACCATTCAAGAGGGCAAAGGCAAAAGCCCCAGAGCTTTGGGAGTCCAGATTTAAACTTACACTGTGTGGCTTATGCCATGTTCCCTTGGGGAAAGCAAATCACAAGTGAGACCGGATTGAAAGAACTGGCAAACAGCTATGGTACATTTTAGGGGGAACAGCAAGTTATCTAAGTTATCTGTGGCTGTATTTAATCTATCAAAGTTTACAGTGTTACCTTACTGAGCCATTAAGACTCTTGATTACATAATGACATTTTAATCCAAGGATTTGTATTTCCCACTAAAATATTTGAGTCCTAGACTATTGGTCATGTTCCTGTATGATATGATATGCTATATAATAATTTTACTAAATATATTATCTTTATTTTAAAATATAAAAGAATCAAAACATTAAAAGTACATTTTAGTTATTATTAGCACAATTAAAATAAATGTTACTCTTTCTCAAAGCAATGCCTTTTGATTTAGATCAAGATAGAAAGATACATTGAAGTTTATGCTTATTTTAATCCAGAATGCAACTAACGAACTCACTAAACAATCGTCAAACGTGAAGTCTCTGAAACTGGAACTCCTAGCAAAAGAAGAACACATAAAGGAGATGCATGAAAAGTAGGATTTCATATTTCTATCTATTGTATTTGGTGCCACCTAGTGGTCGCCATGTGTCCTCACCATTCCACTCCAAAAAACAATACCAGTATTTTGTTTTTCACAATAGAATTTTACTTTTCAAGATCATGAGGTTTTATTTTATTTTTGTTTTTGTAACATTTTTACTTATTTATTTTTATTTTATGTGTATTGGTGCCTGCATTTAAGTCTGTATGACGGTGTCAGAACCCCTGGAACTGGAGCTACAGTCAGATTTGAACTACCATGTGGGTGTTAGAAATTGAACCCAGGTCCTTTGGAAGAGCAGCTAGTGTTCTTAACCACTGAGCCATTTCTCCAGCCAATTAAAATCATGTTTAAGCTGGAATAAGGTGGAATTTTCAGAAATACAATATATAGCATAATTGAGAGCATTTTGGTTGCTATTTTTAATTAGAGTAAAATATTAAAACTAGATTTCCCTTAAAACAATTTGAATAAATATAAATTAGTGACTAAGAGTAAACAAAATCTACAATTATGAATTCTTAGGCTAAGAAAATATATAGATTGGTACGTGCAGAGTTAATTCCTGATTTATAAAGCCAAAGTCAAATATGAAAGTTCTGTTTGCTTATAAAATAGCTAGAGGTTCTTTTGTATATATCATTGTTTAAAGGAATTTGAATACCCTATCCACCCTATCATACTGAGCAAAAGTGGCTCTCTTCCTCTGTATTTTATAACTTTAGTAAAGCTTTTATGTGATAAAAGTCTGGCTAGAACACATCATTGATAAATTTCTCATATGCTTACCTGTAGGCAGAATTGAGTGAAGCTTTACTTAACATGATATTAATAAATAAAAATTATAGGATGGCTAGCTATAGTGGCTTGTACCTGTAGTTCCAGTGTAAGGAAAACTGAAGCAAGAAGGTTGCCACAAAGTTCAGACCAGCCTGGGCTACAATGTGAAAACCTCTCTCCAAAACCCTCCAAATAACAGACAGTCTTATTTTTACCTGGAAATGTCTTGAAGTTTATAAATCAAAGGCAAGTGTTGCTTAGTGCATACTGTTGAGGAGTCTAGGAAAACACTGAGGCCTGGCTCCTGTATTCACTGGCTAATGGCCTTAATTTATGAAGGTCTTTTGAAGAATAAGTGAGTCGGCACATAAAAATTTATACTGGTAGCTCTGTATAGCAAGGGTCTAATCAGCGTTAGCTGCTGTCACTCATATCATCAGTCACAGTACAAGATCAGGAATAGATATCTCGGAAGTTTCTATTTTATAACAGTCACCATCTTAAACTAAGCTGATAGGGGAATTCAACCTCAACTGATTGAATTAAACAGTATGTCTATTTTAGTTTCTTTGCATATTATAAGATTTTTACATTTTTATCCAAGTTGCAGTATTGTTTCTTAACATGGTTAGGATTTTGATTGTCTCTAAGTATCACATCAATATTTCTAAGTTATTAAAAACTGTAACTTAAATATAATCTGTTTTTCATGAATTATAAATTATAATGATCTCAGTTAATTTTTTTGCTATAGTGATATGTAATAGTAACAAGTTCACAAACAGATCATGGATTTTGATAAAAAAATATGAAAACATATGGTCCTTAGATACTGTTTCAGTGCAATTTTATTTTAGTAACATAGTGGCATTAATATCAGCTTTTTAAAACTAACAGTAGGCATAACCGTGGATACGATATATCAAGATACTTTCTGTCCCTGTTAAAATTCCTCCTTTAGGATATCTCGAATGGAGAGAGATATAACCATGAAAAGACACCTGATCGAGGACTTGAAATTTCGACAGAAAGTAAATTCAGAAAGTAATGAAAGTTTTAATGAAATGTTAGAAAATCTTGAAAAAAAGGTACCAAGTTTTTGTTCTCACTGATAAATTATTTTCTGTTGTATTAATTGTAATATAAATATTCAGTACTAAGCAACTGTGTAAAATACTTGCAGAATATATATTGATGGTTATAAAGTTATGGCTTTTTTGTTCCAGAATTCAAGACTCAAAGTCCCACACATACTATTCCTACAATTTGCCTGTTGGTGTGTTCTCCTAAATGGAATATTTACTGTTTGAAACCTCTAGTACTTCTGCATATAATGATATCCTATTTATTATTTTATATTATTTAAACACAAAGTTTATAAGGTCAGAATCAGGCTCATGTACCAATGTAACTGTTATGCCAATAACTATGAAATGCCCTTAAAAACTGTGATTTTTCTTCAATAGACTTAATTTAGTGTACATGGGAGAGGAGTTGTTTTTTTTTTTTTAAGGTTAGTTGTATAATATATGACCCCAAACTAAAATAGTTTGTTTAAAATTCTTTTAAATGTAATTTATGCAACCTGCAAAAGCTTTACTTTTCTTTATTTGTATTGGTGTTTTGCCTGTATGTATGTATGTCTGGTATCTATGGAGGTCAAAAGAGGGTTTCAGACGCCTGGAATGGAACTTCACAGATGGTTGTGAGCTGTCATGTGGGTCCTGGAAATTGAACCTGTGTCATCTGCAGGAGTTACACATAATCAAGCCATCTCTTCAGCCCCCTTACTTTTCTTTCACTTCAACAATTTCAGATAAAGCTTTAAAAGGCTTGCTTAAATAATTATTTCTTTTGTGGCATTAAGCTCAAAATGAAAAAGTTTTTTTTCTTCTATTCTTTGGACTCTGTAAAGAATATAATGATTCTATTATAAATATCATATATTTGTGACATTTTAGTTTGGTTATTTGCTTAAAAATTGCTAGTTTATTCATAACATGAATACTACAAGAAGGCTAATTGAATATTATAAAAATTAATAGATAGTGAATGCAATTAGATTCATTCAGTTTCTGGTGAAACAATACAGTATAAGACTACAATGCATTTACTAACAGTAATTACCTTTAAACTTTTATTGCAGGTGAAGACATTAACTGAAGAATGTTCCAACAAGAAGGTATCAGTTGACTCACTAAAGCAAAGACTTAGTGTTGCCGTGAAAGAGAAGTCACAGTATGAACAGATGTACCAGAAAACTAAAGAGGAGTTAGAAAAAAAGGTATGCTCTCGAAATTCAGATGGAGATCCGAATACAGTGACACCATTATCATTTTAATGCTGTCACCTTTTTCTCCCTAAATCAATACGAACCACTTGATAACTCTACATAACTATAAATAGTTCTGTTTTACTACATGAAACACTAAGACTTTGTTTTACATTAATGGTCATGCTGTATTAGCAAAATAAAGTAAAACAAGTATTACCTTTGTCCAAATACCAGTAAGTTGCAGGTATAGAATAATGAAATCTTTTTCTTGTCTGATTTGTATAACTCATGTCCTCACAATGTCTGTGAAATACTTTTATCTTTATATCAATGTGTTGCAGGATCTCAAGTTGAATCTCCTCATATCAAAAATAAATGAAACAGAAACAGCAATGGCACAGATTGAGACAGCAGCATCAGAACAGCTCCAAGGCTTAGCACTGCAGAGTGAACAGGTCCTGGAAGGTGCGCAGAAGAAACTGCTGGCAGCCAATGAGAAACTGGAAGAGTTCACCCTGTTTGTGAAGGTGTGAGTCACTGATGGCTTACTCCCTTGCACTTCTCTTCAGTCAGAGGCATTGTCCAACTGGGGGTTTGGTGGAAACATCAAATCCTTGCTTTTAGTTGTTGCTGATGTTACTATCTGGTGATGATCTCACTAGATATAGCTCAGCAGGCCCCAGACTGTTGACTCTCCTGCCTCTAATTCTGAGCATCACAGGTGTGCTCTTGGCTTTCTTTCTGCTTTACTAACCCACAAAACCTTTGCTCCTACCTCGTGGGTCACCATGTTAAAACTTTCTCTGTAACAGAGTTTATGGTTTGGATTTATGAAACCATATAGGTTTTCCATTTATGAAATCTTCATAGAATGAAATTTTAAGTGTCTTTCTATGCAGTTCTATTATTTCTTTTCCAGAACCCTCCATAACCACCAGAACTTTTTTGTTTGTTTGTTTTTCTGTTTTGGTTTTTGGTTTTTTGAGGCAGGGTTTCTCTGTGGCTTTGGAAGCTGTTTTGGAACTAGCTCTTGTAGACCAGATTGGCCTTGAACTCACAGAGATCCACCTGCCTCTGCCTTCCCAGTGCTGAGATTAAAGGTGTGTGTCACCCCCACCCAGCAACCCACCATAATTTAAATCACTCATTTACACCTCACTAGGTTGGCTGGAGAGATAGCACAGTGGTTAAGAGCACTGGCTGCCCTTGAAGAGGATCTAACTTCAGTTCCTAGCACTCACATTGAGCTTCTCAGAGCAGCCTCTAATTCCAGCTAGTTATTCAAAGGACATACTGATCATTAAAGGTGACATACTGGTCCTTTATACTAACTGACAATGATATAAAGTATAAATAGTTGATAAATGAATTTGAGAATGTTACAGTCCCATGGATTTTTAATTTGATTAACATTTTAAAGAGTTTAATATAGGTCAGGTATATTGGCACACACCTTTAATTCCAGCACTCAGGAGGCATAGGCAAGAGGATATCTGTAAGTATAAGTCAACCTGATCTACATAGGGAGTTCCAGGCCAGCCTGGGGTACACAGAAATAACCTCTCTCAAATGAATGTCTAATACAGCCCATGCTTAGTATCCTTTCAGAATTTTACACTTGATTTAAGACATCTTTCATTTCGGTTACCAACTTCAGATTCATTTGTTCTCTTGTACCTAAGCAAAATATATAATACTGGCCCTGTGGGTAGGACCCCAAATCTTCATTAACAAATATACTGAATGGACAGAATAAAGGTTTTAGATGGGGACTAGAGATGGTTCAGTGGTTAAGAGCACAAACCTCATTGGCATAGGACCCAAGCTCAGTTCCAAATACCCATAAGGAGGCTCACAGCCATGTGTAAATCTGGTACCAAGGGATCTGAAACCATCTTCTTGCATCCAACGCTATCAGGCATACCTATGGTACACAGACATACATGCAGGAAGTTATAGAAACATTGCTGTATGTTTAGCAATTGCATCTGTATGACATAATAATATCTATTTGGCATTTAAAACTTAACTTCCCAGTTTCCTATGGTAATTTGACATTTATTTTAATTGTTTTATGCTGATATGTGCTTGATACTAACATCTTGTATGTTTTTACGTTTTCTTAATCAAAGGCTACCAGCAGCCCAACACAGAAGTACTGGTCAAGACTGGGAAGTAGGGGGGCTAGTAAAGGGGACCAGCCTCTTGTCTTTACACGGGTGACCTAGGACTGGCCAGAGATGCTCAGGGGCCACCAGCCCAGGCAGCACACCACCTGTGGCTTCCTGCCCTTCTATGTTAGCTGTACTATATTTAAAATTATACCTTGTTATCAATTTTAGACCTTTTGTAAGTGAACATTATCCTGCCTCTGGTATCTGCTCTTTCTCATTGTTCCCCGACTCCTACCCATATTGGGCTTGTTTCTGCCATTTCTCAAGGTCTACTTCCCACCAGGAGGCCCTTCTATCTTTGTGCCCCCTTTCAGAGTTAGCGTGTAGCCAATAGGACAGAGTTCATCTCTGCTCCATACTAACTGTGATCTCAGGCAACTGTACCTCAGTTTCCCTCTCCATAAGAAGATTATAATAGTAGAGCATACCTGAGGTTAAGATTTGAATTCAGGGAAGTTCAGAATGGTGCCTAACAACCCAGAACTACTATGTAAGTATCAACTGTTATTACTGATAGCAATGGTAAGCAAGAGGATAGTTAGCTCCTGAACAGTTATGGTGTATACAACTAAAATGTGATTATAAACTTTTCACTTTGGTTTGCTTGCCTTAGGGCAGGAACATTATCAATAATTTCTTTACAGTATAGTCAACTAATAAAGCTCATTACATTCTTGAGGAATTGATCAGACAGATACACACACGCACACACACACACACACACACACACAGACACACACACAGACACACACACGCAATCACAATGTTACCAGGATTACACCCGCTTTTCCAATTAAAGCTATAAAAGGGAGATCTATCCATAGCTATATATAGTTCTTACATGGATCATATAATCACAATGTATACTGCACAAACCTTTTTTATATGTCATGTACACTAAATTACTTAATAAATATTATCAGTAGTTTTAATAGTACTAATATTTGTTCTGGTACTGTTGTAGAATCTATGTTCCCTTTAGTCTTTTCATTTACTTGTAGGGCACAACCAGATTATGGAAGAGGTGGAGTGGCCATCTGCTCTAGATCTAGTCTTGAATATGGAATTTTGCCCTGGGGTGATATCAAGTGCTTTGAGCATCTGGGCTGAATATATGTGGCAGAGCTGAGGCTTTGAATTCTCTTAATAACTGGATAAAACACACTAGGGAAATTTCTAGAAGTATTTGCTCAGTTTGAGTCAGCCTTGATATATAGGCTTGTTAATGTACTGTATGTGAGAGTCATATGCCAAGCACCATTTTCTCAATATTTTTAGTTGTTGTTGACTAAAAAATATATACCAGCCAAAGAATAGCATTTAGTAGGAAAGTGTACATGGTTTCATTATCAATATATATTTTTGTTTGGTAATATGCATTTCTTTCTTCTTTAATGTAGACATTGGTTGAACCTTCCAATTTTGTTTATATTTGCAATGGTTAATACTTAGGCACTGATCTGTTCTCTTAATTATGAGTTTTAAATGCTTCTGTAATAAAATTCAACTTGAATTCACACTTAATTTTTGTCTCACCAAAGGAAAATTAGAGCTTTTAAAAGGAAGGAAAAGTTCTTACCAAGAATATATTAACTTAGCAGGTGAAATTTAAACTATATAAATTACACCTCAGTAAAGCTGTTTAAGTACTGTTGAGACACGGGTATATTTCTGAATTTCTTGTCAACCCTGCAGTGCCTGGGATTCTCCTAGAGAAAAGGGTCAGTCACCTGCCATATCCCCACCTTGGACTTCCAGAAAATGGACTTCAAGCCTCTTCATAATTTTTCAAATAGCTGTTTTTAAAAATGCATTATTTCTGCAATAAACTATGTTAAGGATGGTGACTTTCTGCCCCCACATTTGAATATTACTGAAAAAAAAGTGTAGTCAGTTCATCATTATGATGAAACTCAAGATCATGAGTTGTTAGCTAATATACTCAAGGCTCATGGATAAAGACTAGAGAACATTAAGAAAATAAAGCTGGAAAACTAGATATTAGTAAGAGTAAAATATAATACTTTGCTGCTTCCTGAACACTACTGCTGCTGGTTACAATAAATATCACAGCTGAAAACAGAGTAACTGGAAGTGAACAGACAGAGTAGCCTGTTAAGAAAATGTTCTCTTAGAATACACCTTGTATCCTAGTTCCACTGGTGGTGTGAATTATAGGCTGGTGATCCTTTTCTCTAGGTCTAAAATCCATATATGAGCGAGTACATACCATGTTCCTCTTTTTGTGACTGGGTTACCTCATTCAGGGTGGTTTCTTCAAGTGCCATCAATTTGCCTGAAAATTTCAAGTTTCCATTATTTTTTTCTGCAGAATAGTATTCCATTGTGTAGATGTGTCACATCTTCTGTTCTTCAGTTGAGGGGCATCTAGGTTGCTTCCAGGTTCTTGCTATTACAAATAGTGCTGCTATGAAGATAGTTGAGCACATGTCTTTGTTGCATGGTAGTCGATCATTTGGGTATATGCCTAAGAGGGGGATTGCCGGGTCCTGTGGTAAACTAATTCCCATTTTCCTGAGGAACAGCCATACTGATCTCCAAAATGGCTATACTAGTTTGCACTCCCACCAGCAGTGGAGGAGTGTTCCCCTTTCTCCACATCCTCTCCAGCATAAGGTGTCATTGGTGTTTCTGATTTTAGCGATTCTGGCAGGAGTAAAATGATATCTCAAAGTTATTTTGATTTGCATTTACCTGATGGCTAAGGATGTTTTTAAGTGTCTTTTAGCCTTTTTGATTTCCTCTATTGAGAATTCTTTCTTCAGTTCTGTACCCCATTTTTTTAATAGGGTCATTTGGTGTTTTATTGACTAGTTTCTTGAGTTCGTTGTATATTTTGGAGATCAGCCCTTTGTCGAATGTAGGATTGGTGAAAATCTTTTCCCAGTCTATGGGCTGCCTTTTGTTCTTGACCACTGTATCCTTTGCCTTACAGAAGCTTCTCAGTTTGAGGAGGTCCCATTTATTAATTGTCGATCTCAGTGTCTGTGCTACTGGAGTTATGTTCAGGAAGCAGTCTCCTATACCAATTTGTTCATGGGTACCTCCTACTTTCTCTTCTAAGAGGTTCAGTGTGGCTGGATTGATGTTGAGGTCTTTGATCCATTTGGACTTGAGTTTTGTGCATGGTGGTAGACATGGGTCTATCTGCAGTCTTCTACACACCATCATCCAATTGTGCCAGCATCATTTGTTGAAGATGCTTTCCTTGCCCCATTGTATTCTTTTACCTGTTTTTTCGAAAATCAGGTGTTCATAGGTGTGTGGGTTTATATCAGGATTTTCGATTCGATTCCATTGGTCTACCTGAGAGATTCATATAAAGTCCCTCA